CTCGCTCTTCGCAGCCGGTGCGAAGGCGACAGCGGCGGCGAAGACGGCGACGGCGAATACGATTAAGTCGGGCCTGTCCCCCTACAGGGGGATTTTCTGCGAAAAATAAGTATATTCCCAGTGCGACCCTACCTAGGAGTTGGAGCCCCTAGGAAATCAGCATTAGTAGTAACGGTAAATCTAATCTGAAGCAAGCTAAGCTAAAACTAAGCTAAATCTAAGCTAAAGCTAAGTTGAAGCTAAGCTAAAACTCAGCTAAAGCTAAGCTAAATCTAAGCTAAGCTGAGCTAGGATGAATAAGCTAAGCTGAGATGAGATAAGATAAGCTAAGATGAGCTAAACTAAGCTGGGGGAACCGCGGGGCGGATGCCGGGGGAACCGCCCGGGGCATGGTCCGCTGCCCGGCCCTTTAAAAGCTTATACAGTAAGAACCCTTCTAGGCAGAGCCTAGGTAGGGAAACACACCAAAAATAATCAAAACATTGCCCCAAAATAATACGGGGACTATTTTTTGGCTATTTGTTAAAAACCTTGTTGGGGCATTTTTGGGGTATCTTTTATTTCTCGTCGACAATCCCCCTGTAGGGGGACACGCCCGACGTAAGAATACACCGACGACGACGGCGGCGGCGGCGGCGGCGGCGGCGAGGCCGCCGGCCCTCCGCGGGGCCTCCCCCGCGGAGTCCAGTGCCGCCGTGCGTGCCATGGCCGCGCCGCCCCCCCGCCCCGCTCCGCCCGAGCCCGCCGGGGGGGGGCGGCGGGCTCGCGGGCGCGGAGTGGTGTGGATGATGATGTGGATGATGACACCAATACTGATGATGATGATGCTGATGATGATGACACTAAGACTGCTGATGATGCTGATGAGGATTATGATGCTGATAATGATATGCTGATGATGATGACGATGAGGATGAGGATGATGATGATGATGATGATGCTGATGATGCTGATGATGAGGATGATGATGATGCTGATGATGATCATGATGCTGCTGATGCTGATGCTGATGACGATGATAATGATGATGATGAGGATGATGACGCTGATAATGATAATGATGATGATGCTGATGATGATGATGACGGTGATGACGATGACGATGGTGATGATGCTGATGATGATGATGATGAGGAGGATGCTGATGCTGATGCTGATGCTGATGCTGATGCTGATGATGATGATGATGATGATGATGATGTTGATGGTAGTGGTGGTGAGAAGGGAGGAGGAGGAGGGGGATGAGGAGGAGGAGGAGGAGGAGGAGGGGAGGAGAGGGGGAGGAGGGGGGGGAGGAGGGGGAGGAGGAACAGGAGGAGGAGAGCAGAGGAGGAGGAGGAGGAGGAGGAGGCGGAGGAGGAGAAGGAGGAGGAGGAGGAGGAGCAGGACGGGGACGCAGAGGAGGAGGAGGAGGAGGAGCAGGAGCAGGAGGAGGGAGAAGGAGAAGGAGGAGAAGGGGGAGAGGGAGGAGGATGGTGGTGATGACGATGGCGATGGTGATGGCGATGGTGATGATGGTGGTGATGACGAAGCTGTTGGTTTTGATGCTGCTGTTGCTGTTGATGGTGATGGATGTGATGAAGATGATGATGCTGCTGATGATGACGATTTGATGATCGAGTGCTCCACTGCAACATTCGCCCGACAATGAACAAAGCGGTTAAAACGTTGAGCAGAAAGAAGCTCATACAAAAAAGAGAGGAGGACAGAAGAAAGAGAGAAGGGATGGGCGCTTGTGCGGACCTGTATCCTGCATGAGCGGCTGGCGAACTCGAGCGACAAGAGCGCGTTTCCTTCTTTTCGGCGATGACGGGCGTCAGGGGGGGGGGGGAGCGGAAGGGGGTATGACGTAACGCCCCCCCCCCCCTGCCGTGTGGCTGCGGCACCACAGCCGCGCCCGCGCGCACGACGGCGATGAGAGACGAGCGACGAGCGATGAACGACGACGACGACGACGACAACGACGACGACGCGAGCAGCATGTAGGTGGCGATCTGCCCCACAGCACCTGTGTACACCACGGTGCTCGCGTGCAACGCAGCGCCTGTGTACACCACAGTGCTTGCGTGCACCACAGCGCCGGTGTACACCACAGCGAATGTGTACACCGCAGCAGCCATGTGCAACACAACGACTGTCTACACCACAATGTTTGCGTGCACCGCAGCGCCGGTGCACACCACATCGCCTGTCTACACCACAACATCCGCGTGCACCACAGCGCCTGCGTGCACAGGACAAGCAGAAGGAACCTGTTGGTGAGGATCTGCGGCGGACAGCTAAACGCAACGCCAAGGAACTGCTGATAATATAATGCCACGTTCTTCCCTCCTCTCTCCTCCACCTCCACCTGCACCTCCTCCTCCTCCTCCTCCTCCTCCTTCTCCTCACTCACCCTTCCCCCCTGTCGTGCGGGTCGGCGCTACACCGCACGTGCGCATCTCAGCGCGCACCGCAGAATGGTCGATTGAATCAGATCACTTGCTTCTCGGACGGGCAATTTATCTGGAGCCTCCTGGACGCAGATGGGAAGGAATAGGATCACGCGGGCGGACTCCGGAGGACTCGTATATTCCAGCGGCACTCCTGTTTTTCCAAACGGACTCTTTCCTAAATCCTGTGTTGAATCCACAAGCGCTCCGTCTTGTCATAAGGATTACTTCTAGAAATCTCCCTCTCTCTCTATATATATATATATATAAACAACAGTGGTGTTTTGTTGCACAAGGTTGCTGTGGTGCACACGTTCTCCGTGGTGCACACAGGCGGCGCTGTAGTGCACACAAGCATTGTGGTGTACGCTGGTGCTGTGATGCACACGGCTGATGTGGTGTACGCAGGCGCTGAGGTGTACACAAGCGCTGTGGTGTCTGCAGGCACTGTGGCACACACTGGCGCTGTGTTGCACGCGGCTGCGCTGGAGGCGGTGTGGTGTACACACTCGCTGTGGTGCACACAGGCACTGTGGTGTACACAAGCGTTGTGGTGCTCTTCGCCACCGACATGCTACTGCTACCCGTCCTCGGCGATTCCTAGGCATTCCCAGACGCCGCCGCTGCAAAACGTGACGTTGTTGGCCCCCTCCCACACCCCCCCAAGTGATTGCCGTCATCGGCCCGGTATTTCTATAAAGAAAGGCTCCAGCCGCGTCTGCGCGCACGACGACGATGAGCGACGAGCGACAAGCGGCAACCGACAACGACGACGATGGCGACGACGACGACGACGACGACGACGGCGGCGGCGGCGACGACGACGACGACGACTGCGGAACCGACTCTTATGCGGATTCCTGTGCGAACACTTATGCGGATCCCGATGCGCACGGCGGCAGTGCCCGGAGCGCACTGGGGGGGGAAAGCGTTACGTCATAGGGGGGGGGGGGCGGGGGCCATGACGCCCGTCATGCCCCAAGCAATAAAGTAACACGCTCCAACATTTGGTATCGCAACAAATTGCGCAAACAAAAAGCGCTTTTTGCACCGACCGCCCTCAGCAAGTCAAGAAGGACGAACTTGTCACCAAGCTTCTCTTGCAAAAAGCAGCTTCTGCACCCTGCGCGTATAAACCGTACCACTGCCGCCCAGCAATCCGTCGAAACATCTCGTTTGAGCAGAGGCCGAACCCTAGAGTCTGAGCGAGCGAGCGCTCGAAGCCTCGACCGAAAATGGGCAATCCACTGGGCGACAGGGCAGATCACGTGGGACGCACGCGCATACTAGAACACCCCCCAAACCACCTCGTTGACGAGAGCATCCTGGATTCAAATATTTCGGGTGTGCTCGGGGTGTGCAGCAAGCCACCACTGCTCGGGAGCCCACTTGAAGAGCGTGAATCCATTCACACATCCAGAGGTGGGGCACCCGAGGAAATGCTAAATGATGTCTCCGCCGTCGCAGCCACATAATCTACATTACTACACAGCTTGCGAGAAATGGGACGAAGCACGCCAGCTGTTACAAATCGTGCCGATCATAATGGAAAACGATCCCAGTCTTAACCTTTCGGCTGAAAGTCCCGAGGCGGGCGACAACAAGGGAAGGAGCAGAGTGGGGAGGAGGAGGAGCCAGGGACCATCTCTCGAGCCTGGCACCAACACACATCACGAAGACTGGTGTCTGGTGGGCCATCGCTCGGACGTCCATTCCCTGTGCTTTTTTCGGTTTCGTGCGTGGTTTTTTCTCCAAGTGATCAAGGATGCTCCTCGATGGTCTTCGCCGGAGGAAAAATGCACACGTCCGAGCGATGCCAAGCCAAAGAATCCTGTACACTTGTTGGGAAGACGGCTCGGAAACCACACTCCCCTGGCAAATCAAATTCGACGAACCACGGGCCGCTCACGCCTGGCACGCCGCACACGACTGCAATCAATTCTGCGGGCTGGCCAGGGAAACTATTCCGCCGTCGAGCCACAGGCGGTCAACCTCGGCACTTGGTCGTGAACGCACCAGTGTCGGAACTTGATAACTAGACGAAGAACATACGGCAGAAACATAAACTTTTGGCGCTCCGCGCGGACTTCTTGGATCTGTCCTGGACCCCCCTCCTTGGCGCGCGGAGCGCGCCAGGGGCGGCGCCGGGGGCGGCGCCGGGGGGCCCCAGCGCGGATCCAAGAAATCCGCGCGGAGCGCCAAAAGTTTATGTTAATGGCGTCTTCACTCCTCCGAAGGAATCGGATGATCCATCCGCCGCGCGCGGCGGCGAGCTCGGGGCGAGGAAGCTCCGCGAGCCCCACGCCGCTCGGCGCCGTCTCCTCGCGCGGGGTGGGGCCGCCTGTGCCGCGGCAGGCACGTCAACGCCGGCCCCGCTCCGGAGAACCTTTCTGGACGGCGGGGGAGGGGAGACAGAATCAGGTCGGGCCTGTCCCCCTTCAGGGCATTTCGGGCGACAAATCAAACAATACCCCTGAAATGCTCCAAACATTGTCGAAACTAGTCGCAAAATCGTCCCCAGATTATGTTCTGACTACTTTTGGATATTCCTCCTGTACAGGGACAGGCCCGACTTAGAGATAGAAGGAGGCAGCAACATTCGAAGCGGAGCAACAAACACTGCAGATTGCGCACCGCCTTGCAGAACCTGCCCTTTGGGGCACTCGCGCGCGACCCTGCGCGGACAGCGACTGCCCGTGCAGCGGAACCCGCCTTCCGGAGTCGCCCGCGTGTTTCTTTGCGTGCGGCTCCCTGTGCTCCCGTTCCTCGTCCTGCTCCGCTTCCTCCTGCTCCTCAAGCTGGCCCTTCGGTCAGAAAGAGGGGCTCCCGAGCGGTCTTACAGTCGGGGCGTTGACCTAAAGGGGCCCTAACTAAGGAACGAGGCCCCTTTTTTTCCATAAATTAAACTTCGATTCCCCATGGAAAACAGGAGAAACACCTGAGGCAAGCTGTGAACACACTTAAGGAGCGCGGAGCCCCTCCCCAACGAAAAGGGTTCCTTCTTCGGGGCCCCGGCGGTGCCTTGTCCGGGGGCGCGCGTGGGAGAGGGGGGAAAGGCTGGGGCAAAAGACCATGCACCCTGCGAAATGCTTAAGAAACCATGGGTTAAGAAATTCAGAGTCTCAGAACTGGAATAAAAACCCAACATTTCCATTAAAATCTTAGGATTTCCATTGAAAAATTAAGAATAATCGAGACTCTGGCCGAAAACTTAGGTTTTCTTAAGCATCGCCTAAGGTGTACCCGGGGTGTGTGGGGGCATGGGCATCCGCCGTCCGTCCTCGCAGCCCCTCGCTGCAGGCTCGGGAGTACTCCTCCCAACGCGACGCAGCTGCCCAGGGAAGAGCCGCAAGACGAATACATGCTGCTGCGTCCCAGCCTTGGGTCGGGCATGTCCTCCTACAGGCGGACTTTGGACGAAAGATGAGGCGATAGTCAAACATACTCAGCACATAGCCAAGCATGGTCAACAAGATCGTCCCCTGACCATTTTTCTTGACTACTTTTGGGACTGTCCATCTGTAGAGGGACAAACCCGCCTTAATCCCAACCACACGCATGCTGCCGCGCCCCAGCCGCGTACATCCTGGGGCGGCCCCGGCCATACAATCAGGTGCATCGTTCTGGGAGGCGCCGCGGGGAACCGGCAAAAGGAAAGGGGGGGCGGCGCGCACGAACCCGAACAGATCAACAAGTCAACAGCAGCTGCAGACAAGACCTGTTTTTCTTGAGAAGACGACACCCCAGCCTATCACTTTTGACCCCCCCATCCCCATGAAATTCCAATTGCAGGAACCCCTGCGTGGGGGGGGGCCTTGGGTCACCCACTCCTGCCATCAAAAGCCTACGCAGGTCATTGGATAGACCCTGGTTTGGGGCGTTTCGCTGAAGACGTCTTCAGGATTTGCCTGGTTTGGCCCCTGCTTTGGCCTGGCTTGGCCTGATTTGGTTTGGTTTGCCCAGACGCCACGCCGGAGACACGCTCAAAATCTATATGGTTTGGCCCCTGGCTTGGCCTGGTTTGGGGCTGGTTTTGCCTGAGGCGTCCTCACACTCGGCTTGGTATGGCTTGGTGTCGGCGCGGTTTCGCCTGAGCCGTCGTCCTTCCAACTTGTCTTGTTTAGCTTGATTGCGGCGCTGTTTCGCCTGCGACGTCCTCACCATGTGTTTGGTTTGGCTGGGTTCCAGTGCGGCTTCGCATACGGTGACATCTATGTGGTGCTGTCGTCGCTGCCGCCGTCGCCGCCGTCGTCGCCGTCGCCAGCCGCTCTCGTCGTCGTCGTCGTCGTCGTCGCCGTCGTCGTCGTCGTCGTCGTCGTCGTCGTCGTCGTCGCCGTGACCGTCGCCGTGGCCGCGCCCGCCGCCGCCGCCGCCGTCGTCGTTGTTGTCGTCGCCGTCGCCTCCGCGACTCTTTGCGAGCACTGGCGCAGCCGCTGCCTCGACGCGCGAGGGCGGCCCGGGCCCGCTCAACGCTCAGTCTCTCTCGCTCGCTTCTGTTGCATCCTCGGGGGGCCTCCTCTGACCCGTCGCGGCCCTCTCCGCGTCGAATGCGCGTCGAATCGGATCCGTGCCGAATCCGCACTGGATCCACGCCGAATCCGCGTCGCGTCCGATTCGAGCCCGCGCCGCGCACAAAAAAAGGACACCGATTTTTGGGAGGAGGAGGAGGAGGAGAAAAACAAAAGG